CATGTGGCCCAGTTTAAAATTACCAAAAGGGGAATGAATAGGAATAAAACAGGAGCCACAGGGGACCAAAGTTATAATTAGAGCATTTAACATAATGCCAAATACTCTGTGGGTTCTCAATAATATTTGAAGATTATAATGACAGTCATTATCCCTTAGGTGAGTTCATGTCTGGACTCTCCTCCCATATGCTTTCAACTTTTCTACCTCTAGAAATTCAACAGTAATTCATTCATGCTTTTTGGACAAAATTAATAAATTGAAAGAGTGTGAAAATGATAAAGACTATAATTTTGAACAAATGGCATCATCTACCATTGAAACATAGGTTCCATTGGAAATGCCAAACATAGCATGTGAATTTCTAATAAGTAATGTGAATTATCATAGAATTTTTAAGGATTGTGTAGTTTATGTCATTCATGTATTTGGTTGATACATTGAAAATGAAGCAAATAAAAATTTAAAAACATAGCCCATTGGCCTCAAATCAGTTAGCAACATAATATTTCAGAAGAAAAGCAAAGAGGGAAAAATTATCTGTGTGAACAAATCTAATCTATTATCTGGCTTGCACATATGTTCAAATATTTTTCTAAAGTAGTTAGGTCTTCTACCTCAAATTCTGTTTGTCAGCAAAATTTCAATTGTCAAGAATTAAAAAATAATAGCAGCTGACATTTATATAATACCTTAAAGCTTAAAATTTGCTTTGCACCCTTTATTCAAGTTAAATAAATAGGTTTAATTAGTTCCCATGGAAATGATGAGTAATTTAAGATTCAGAGAATTTAAGACACTTCCTTGGATCATATAACTAGAAAGCAGAATTCAAACCCAAATCCCTGACTCCAAATCCAGAACTCTGGTCAATATGCTATTTCCTATTGCTTACAGCCTTGAGAAAACTAATTCATAGTGATAGCTGGGTAATCTTTGGGCATTTTAATGCATCTCTGTGCCTCAGTTTAGGGGCAGCTAGGTGGCACAGTGGATAGAACCCTGGCTCTGCATGAGGATCTGAGTTCAAATTTTACCTCAAACGTTAGCTGTATGATCTGGGCAAGTAATTTAATCTTATTTGCTTTATTTCTTCATTTATAAAATGGGCTGGGGAAAGACACAGCAAACCACTTCAATACCTTTGTCAAGATAACGTCAAATGGAGACACAAAGAGTCAGACAGGATGAAACAACTCAACAACAAAAGTGAGTTTCCTTATTTGTACAACAGGCATTGCATCATGAAGAACAACTTTTATTGATTCAATATAAAAGAATATAGCAAAACATGAGAAAAGTATAAAGTGATACATAAATACAAAGTAAGAAGTGCTATTATTCTTATACATATTCCCAGGTAAGAATAACATTCTTAAAAGTTTTCATTCCTCTGACACCCTTGTCAACACTACCTTAAAACAAAGCAAAAAAAAAAAAACCTATGGGAGGAAGTGCAGTGCACTAATATCATATTGCCTGTTTTTTACTAATTTCAAAATGAGATTCCAAAATTAGATTACAGTTAATTCTTATTAGAGTTATGGCATTTTGATCTAAGGGTAGTTTGAGTTAGAGAGACAAGAAGCAAGATGAGTTGTTGTATTAGCAGGAGAAACTCTAAAATACAAGGTGATAATAGAGGAAAATGTGTGGCAAGGGAAAGAGGGAAGCCAAAATAACACCAGATAATTTTATGCTAATTACATTCCCTTAACTTAACTTCTGCTATAACCTTCCCCTGAATTCCAAGAGTTCCAATCCAAAGGAAATTAATGCCTTGGATACCAATGCCATATTGGCAACATCACAAGGCGTATATCCAGTTCAATGGGTTTCTTATCAATATTGCAGCTCTACTGATCACCTGGACGCCAGGAGAGCTACAGAGCACCACCTGAAGGGCAGCAGTCATCCTAAGTGTTGTGGAGCCAAGGATATCCATAGCTCTGCCTACAGTAAAGCCTGGTATATGTGATTGTCTGGCATGATGACACAGTCCCTTCAGATGAGTCTGTATAGACTGTTCTTTCCTTTTTGTGTAGGTTTTGTTTGCCTTCCCTAGGAATATAGACATGTCAATGTGACAAAATTCTCTGATCATCTGTCCTTTAAATGATGTTAAATAAGTCATGCTCCCTCTCTGTGCCTCATTTTTCCCATCTGTAAAACAAGAGGGTTAGCTTAGATGACCTCTAAGATTCTCACAATTCTAAATCTATGATGCTACGCTGTTGGAGTAGTCAGTGGTCCTCATGGGTACAGTCTTACAACACAGAAGCTATCAGACCACTGTTTGGGAGAAACTGGAAACTGGAGACTCCTTTACCTGGGGATAGGCAGTAGAAACAGAGTATCTCAGCAAGCTCAAAAAGCAACTGAAAGACTATCTTGAGGAACTCTACTTTAAGGGTCACAGAGAAGATACAAGAAGTCTCACCTTATGTTAGTGCTTTCCCAAAAGCAGCTACTGCTTTGTAAAGTGACCCTCAGTCCACTTTTTCGGATATAGCTTCCTTGAGGTACTTCTTAAAGCTTGGTTAGATTGACCTGAATCTTACTGTGATTCTGCCCACCAAATGTGAGGAAGAGGCAATATGGTCTAATGAATAATAACACAAACTTGGAATCAGGATCAACCTTGATTTAAATCATACCTCAGATACTTACAAGCTGTCTGACACCTGTAAGTCACTTAACTTATCTTGCCTGTGTTTTCCCTATCTCTAAAATGGAAATAATAACAACACACACCTCTCAGGGTTGTTGTCAGGATCAAAGGAGTTAGTTGATAGGTAAAATAGCAAAAAATTAAAAAAAAAATCTTACAGTGCTACTGTTTTTGTAGGTCAAAATGACATTCAGATTATCTAGCCCAAGTTTTTTTTCTTTATGAAAAAAGGTATCAGGGTTGTAGGGTCCCTTATGGAGCTCTTGGGCAACCAGGCAAGAAACATTTCATTACCTCTTAATACCAACTGAAGAGACTAATTCAGTTATAAAGCCCTATGAAGTTTACAATGTACTTACCTTCTGCATAATCATCTGGTAAAATAAGCAGTGCAAGCATCTTTATTAATCCTAGTTTACATATAAAGAAACTATGTCTCAGAGAAGACAACTGAATTGCTCTAGATCACACAACTAGTAAGTGTTTGAGCCATCACGTGAAATCAGGTCTATCCTAATTCTAAGCACTCCCTCAAACATATCATATGAGATATCTATCTCTCTGTACACACAGATCTATATGTATACATACATACATATACACACACACACACATATATGTATAAATTGCAAGAGAACATATGTATATATTTTATATATACATTGGTTTATGCATGTTGGCGTGTGTGTACACACACATCTGCATGTCTATGTCTATATCTATACCTACCTAACTATCTATTGATCTAGCTACATATTGAGAGAGTATGTAGTATACTTGAGGGAATTGTTTTAAACCTTTGTTTTCGAAGAGGACCAGTGGCATCACAGTGTGATATCTTGTGCATAAATTGGATTTATGTGAGGCAGAATTGCACTAAGTTGTCCACTTCACTCTATCTTCCAGAGTCATCGAATTTCAGTGGCAAGACAAAACTCAAGAGGACTGGTGATGGTCCGGGATATAGTGGATGACCTTGGTGTCTTCAGTGTCTGACTAAGCTCTAAGTGCTCCACAGAGCCTGCTTCAGTTGCTGTTGGAACCAATTGTCCTCATCTGCCCATTCTGCTGTGGGAAGTCTTCACATGTTTGGGGTAGACATCCCCCTAATTCAATAATAGGTTTGAGGCCTATCGGTTACCCTCAATCTGTTTTAGCCCATCTATGGATTTATCAGGGTATGTGTGCTGTGCATGCTACAACTTATTGGAGCCACAGGTAAAGATTTGGGTGAATCTACCCAAAGGATAGCAAAGGCAGATGAGCAGCTCTGAAAAGGGCTCCGCAAGACCTCATACAACAGGTGTCAGTCCTCTCTGAATAGTATATATACCCCTGAGAGTCAGGACAGTTTTGGTTTAAAATATTTGTACATATATATGTATGCAGGCATACATATTTATATCTGCTTCTCTACATAGGTATCAAGTGTAGTATGTCTGTGTGTATACATATGTGTATATTCATATACACATCTATCTATGTCTATCTAGACAACAGACTACACACTCATAATTCTTTCACAAGGAGATTTCCAAGAATAACAAAGGAAAAGAAAGGGGAAGCTGATGATAAATTTCTTTAAGAGTCTCTCCAACCCTTAAGTAGTCCCTCTTACCTGAATTTTCCTTAGATTTCTTTGAAATTTCACACATAAGCTGACACTTATTCTCATGCCTGGTTTATTTATTTGTATAAGGTCCATAATTACCCTTTCAGTCACAAATCAACTTGCTGGGTACATGGTGATGCAGTGCAAATGACACATGCCGTTTTAGAATTATTAATAAGTATTTGAGCTTAGATATAGAGGCTTGAAAGCCATTAAAATAAATACTTCATAACCGCAAAAAATAATGTGAAACATAATCAGCAGAAACCCATATCTGTGTCTACTCTAAACGTTCAGCTCTTAATGATAGTATTGAGACTAATTTGCCATATTTGAGGAAGGGAGCATGTAGGGATGGGTTCAGTTAAGTGACCTAGCTTTTCCTTTCAATCTATATGATGCTGAATAACAGGTTTGACTGAATTCTTCACTTTCCACCTGGTTATCTTGGTGTCATGTAGATGTAGTGTTAGATGACTTTTCTCTTGAACTCTGTATAAGTTGACCTTTCCCTTTCAATAAACATATTAGCTGACATGCAAGCTGAGGTCCAAACACAAATGTCAAAATATAACCTAATGCCAGCCAATGACTGAGACACTGTACTTTTCTTCCTGTGTTAATAGAAGGTTTGAAATAAATATGTGCTCTGCGGTTTGCCAAAGCAGATGTTTAACTTTCAACATTCCACAGTGAAATGGCGGACAGAGCCCTTACCTTTGGGAATGGTAATCTGACAGCTGAGGTCGCAGTCCTGCTGCAGCTGATAAAAAGCCACTTCCTGCAATCGGGCACGCTCCAGCTCTGAGAGGCTTTGTATGGGAACTGACTTCAGCCGAACACTGCGCCCTGACATGCTGTTCCAAGTAAAATCACCCTGTAGATCAAGCAGAAAAATATGAAGTGTTACATGGTTCACCTACTTTAACAAACATGTTCATCTCTTTTTTTTTATCTGGAAGAAAAACATGACAGAGATTTTTTTTTAAGTTTATTTTCACTTGGAGTTAACTTTAGCAATGTGGAATACATCTTTTCTTTATTTTCAGATAGTCTTCATCTCAAAGAATTTCAATTCACTCTTCTTTTCCTGTGATAATTCTATAGTAATCAAAGAAGCTAACATACATATGACCCAAGATAGTACTGAAAAAGTTAGGTAATACTGTCTAATAAATTATGGGCTTATTAGAATTCACTAAGGAAAATTGCCAATTAATGTATATAACTGTCTATCTATACCTTCACTATTCATATCTTTATACTGTGAGGTAAGGGAGATAGATAATTTTACACATGCAATAGGACTAAGTTAGGTGGCAAAGTGGATAGAGCTGAGGACATGGAATCAGAAAAGGCTTAAGTTCAAATCCAACCCCAGATATTTTGTGATTCCTGGCAAGTCAATCATCTTTTTTTTTTTTAAGGCAATTGGGGTTAAGTGACTTGCCCAGAGTCACACAGCTAGTAAGTTTCAAGTGTTTGGTCTGAGGCCAGATTTGAACTCAGGTTCTCCTGACTTCAGGGCTGGTGCTCTATCCACTGTGCAACCTAACTGCCCCTCAGTCATTCTTTGTATCAGTTTCCTCAATCTGTAATATACAAATAATAATAGCACCTACTTTAAGGTTAATCTAAATATCATAGGAGGTCACATGCAAAGCCCTTTAGAAATGGTAAAGCTCTATAAAAATGCTAGCTATTATTAATGACATGAAAGTCACCTTGATTGTATGTCTTATAGAGTGAGGTGACTGGAACTGCTCTCAGTTAATAAAAGAATGCACGCTAAAATGTTTCAGCATGTCTGATATTCCACAGGGATATGGTCCTGTCACAGAGTATTGCATTTACAAATGACTGCTGCAAATGAAATGAAACCAGTTACTGGGGCTGAGGAACAGAAAGCCTTGGTCCTAGGCTGCTTTGCTATTGTTGCATTAAATCTTTGCTACGGTTGTACAAGATGAAGTCTTTCACGCTATCTATTCCCTCTTTTTGGTATCCCACGTGCTAGGCACAGTGCCTAGCACGTGGTAAGTTTTTAATAAATGTTTATCGACTGGCTGACCACTCTCCATTAGGCAGATGCAATGATAGGAAGACCTACCTATCTTAGAAGGCTGTGGTGGCAAGTAATGAGGCAAGGTCTAAATAGGTTTTCTTTAAAATCCCCAAACCATGTCTATTTCCATTCATGGGTAAATTGGGTATGGAGAATAGCCTATTCTATTGCTATACTATTTTTTTGAAACATGAAATTACTTGAAAAAGTTATCAGAAAGTAGCTGATGTCTAAGGGTCTAGAGACAAATCTATTGCAGGTCAGTCAGTCAATAAACTTTTCTCAAGCACCTACTATGTGCCAGGCACAGTGCTAAGCACTGAGAATAAAAAGTAAAGCAAAAGGCAGGCTCTGTTCTTAAGGAGCTCACAGCTAATGGGGGAGATAATATGCAAACAACTGTATCCAAATGAGCTACATGCAGGATAAACTGAAAACAATCCACAGAAAAAAAGAACTAGAATTAGCAGGGATTGGGGAAGTCTTCTTATAGGAAGTGGGATTTTAGTTGGGATTTGAAGGAAATTAGGAAAGCCAGGAGGCAGGGATGAGAAGGGAGATTATTCTAAGCATGGGAGACAGATAGTGACAATGCCCATGTGTGTTAGATGCAAATTGTTTTGTGAAGATGGAATGATTTCCGTTTACAGTACTTAAAATGTTAATGACTTTGGTAACAGTAACTTGCCGCACATTTCTGTCACTAACCACCTGATTTTAACTGAAAATTTGTACGTGTACATTCAAAGCCAAAGTAATCCCCAGTGGCAGTCAAAGCAAACATTTTTATGCGCACCTGAAAATAGATATGTTCTCACCCACATAGCGTCTCTAAGTATAGAATCACAGACATGAGAGCATCTAGTGTAACCCCTCTCATTTTACAGATGAGGAAACTGAAGTTCAAAGAAATACTGCCTAAGGTCACATAATTAGTAATAAAGGACAGATGCAAATCCAGGTCCTGTCACTTCCAGTTGAGTGTTCTTTCCAATACATCATGCTGCCACTCACTTTCATCCCAAAGAAAGAAATCTGCAATAGCAACAACTAATCCTTGCTTCCTCCTGAAGAGGAAACCCTGCATGCTGTGGATAACCAGCCAACATTCACCTGGCCAGCCTTCCCCTGAACTATCAAGAGTTCACCCAGCAATACTGCGTGAGATAACTCTAGGAAGTGGGCATTCTTGGGGAGATCTGTAATCAAGAAGGAATACAGCTACACATGTGCCTCTTTCCTAATTCATGGAAATGCCATGTGCACCTTGGAATAGCTAAATTGTCACTATTCCTGCAACCTGTAAGAGGAAAAGCAAGAAAGCTGACTGCGGAATTAGGTAGTATGTTTAAATGGGAAAACCTTACCTACAATTTTCTTATATTAACTGCCAAAAGAGATGGCAAAAAAGTAGTTTCTCATCCCTTCCTGTTTTGCCCTACCCCCTCATTCACTCAGCTACTATCTTGAGAAAATTGAAACCATTTTCATTAAGCTCCCTCTTCATCTCAAAACCCTTGACTTCATCTCCTAATATCTCCTTTCTTCCAGTATCTCATAACAAAATGACCCTTCTCCGTGTCAAAGCCAGCTCCTCCATTAGTTTGTGATCCTTTTCCCTCCCATCTTTTCCAGCAGATTGTCTCCTCAATATTTCTCTCTGCTTTCATATATTTAACCATTTCCCTATCCCCTGGTTTCTTCCTTACTGCCTATGCTCAATAGTCCCCATGCCTAAACAAAACAAAACAAAAAAACCTTTTCATTACCTCCCTCCACCCTTCAAGTCACCATCCCCTCTTTCTCCTCTTCTCTGCCAAAATCCTAGAAATTGCTGCCTATATTCATTGCCTTCACTTTTGTTGTCTACCTTTCATTTTCATGACTCAAGTAAAACTGCTCTCTGGAAAGCTATCAGTGATCTCCTAATGGCCAAATCTGATGGTCTTTTCTTAGTTCCCATACTCCTTGACCTTTCTGCTGCATGTGTCACTCTGGACTACCCTCTTTTCCTGAATATTCTCTCCTCTCTGGAATTTTGTAACAGTACTCTTTCCTGGTTTTCCTCCTACAGTCTGACAGCTCCTTCTCAGTCTTCTTTGCCCATCATTGAACATATCATGCCTTCAGTTATGACTATTCTCCCAGGGCTCTGTCCTAGGCCCTCCTCTCTCTCTCTCTCTCTCTCTCTCTCTCTCTCTCTCTCTCTCTCTCGCTCTCTGTTCTTTGCAATGAAGCCATCAATTTCCATGGGCTTAATTAACATCTCTTTGCAGATGACTCATGTACATCTATATTGCCAGTCCTAATGTCTCTTCTCAGCTTCAATCCCACATCACCAAAAAGCTTATTGGACATTTTCAACGGGATACCCTGAACTCAACATATCCAAAACATAACTATATATATCATTTGCCCCATATCCATCCCTCTTCCAAACTTCTCCATTTCTGTTGAACTCACCATGATTCTTTTAGTCTTTCAGATTTATAATCTCAGTCATTCTTCTCTCAGCATTTTTTCCCTCCCTCCCCTCATTTTATCACTTATCTTCCAATTTCTATCTCCATACCATCTCTCCCTTTCTGCTCCATACCATCTGCTTCTTTCTCCTCATATAACCCTCACCTCGTCACCTCTTGCCGAAATTACAGCAACAGCCTCCCAATTGTTCTCCCTGCCTTAAGTCTCTCTCAGTTTCAGTTTATGTTCCACATTGCTGGCAAAGTGATTTTCCTTAAGTGCAGATGTGACCTCACCTCACTAACTAAATTCTGTACCCCTAGGATACAATATAAACTCATCTCTTTAGCTTTTAGAGCCCTACACAGCTTTGTACCAATCACTCTCTCGTCTCATTGTACAGTACTCTCCCTCACATAATCTGTCCTTTCAAATGAGTCTGGCCTGTGATCCTCACACATGGAACTTCAGCTCCCATCTATGTCTTTACATTGACTGTCTCTGGTGACTAGAATGCACCCTTCCCCCCACCTCAATTCTGCCTCATAGAATCCTACTCTTTCTTTCAAGCAGCATTTCATACATGAAGCCTTTCCTGATCCTCTCAATGGATAGTGTCCTCTTTTCAAACTATTTAATTTACCTTGTATTAATTTGTATTTAATTACCTTGTATTAATTAGAATTTATTATCTTTATATTTATTCTGTATATACACATATAATATAATGTACCTATATAACATATATGTGTAAATATGCATGTATGTATATATACATAGCACTGTATATGTATATATGCACATATATCTTTTATATATACATATATACATACTTACATTTATCTATGTATGTATCTCTCTCTTTCTGTATATATATAAATATATATATATACACACACACACACACATATATATAAATATATATATATATAAAGTATATATATATATATATATATATATATATAAATATATATAACTCCTTGATATTTTTCTTTTGGAATTATGTGAGCTCCTTGTAATTAAGGACTATTTCAGCCTTTGTATTTATATCCCTAATGCCAAACAATGTGCCAGGCAAAGAATATAAGCTTAATAAATGTCTATTCACAATTTTAGCATTACTGTTCCTTCTATCAGATCTAAATCCAGTGAAAAGACAGTTCTAGTTCCATTATCTTCTGACACCCACTGGCTAAAAGGGAAAGTAGCAATTATAAACAACTTTAGCCACCCTGAGAAGCTCACCCACCTTTGAAATAAATTCTAAGATCATACAATAGATAAGGTCTTAATAAATGATTTTGTCTGACTCATTCCCTATTGAATTAAGCAGAGAAATGTAACAGGCC